TAAANAAAAAAAAAAAAAAAAAAAAAAAAAAAAAAAAGAGATTTTGCTTAGCTTTTGATTTACTTGAACCTAACTTAATTTCTATCCTTTAGCGATATTGTGATTTGTAGGGATTTACAATGAAGAAAGTAAGAAATTTATAAATTTTTATGTTAAAATTGCAAATTAAGTTGTTCACTATTTTCCTCAAGTAACTTAAAAACTAACAATATTCTTGATTAATAATTAAAATATAATGAGGTAGAAAGAAATCATGAAAACGGGAAGGGAAAATTCTAAATTATGAGGGGTAGAGCTTTTATTCTTTTTCATTTACTTTTCACAAATAAACTGACGATGGATATTTATTCTATTTGGCACTATCTTTCGATATATGCAAAATATAAGGCCAAAATAAGGAATTTGAGATATAAAACATGCAGTATTTTAGATTCTCTATAAAAAAAATTTTTTACACAATTATGCAAACATCATTCTGTAGTGAAATTTTTTTTAAAGATATTTAAATAGTAAACAGTTGTAGGTTTTTAGATTTTTTAATAAATAACTTTGTTTTTATGCAATTAACGTTAAATGAAATGTTTAGCGACATCCAAATTACTTTTAATCAAATTTAAACTGCAATAAGATTAGTTTTTCAGAAAACCTAAAAACTTGGAAACGTGTAATTTTTAATTACTTGCTCAAAACCATAAATCGCATCATTTTATTGCTTTAAAGTTTGTCGGAAAAATTCTTAGAAGTTTTAAAAATTATCAAGCGCTATTTCTCCTAATCTAATATAACGAGCCTTTTATTTCTACCTCTTTTGACACGTGTTGCGCTGTCGAATAATATTACATCATCAAAAGTGCCATTAAGTGAAAAAAAAATTTTTTTTTTCAATTTTTCGAATTTTAATATTTTAAAGAATAACATTCTTAATCTCAGATACATTTTTATATAATTTTTATTTGCTTTTTTCTCCTTTTTTTATTTAAATTTTCAATAATCCCACCAATAATGAAAAATATCCATAGAAAAATTCTATGTAAACACGATAAATTTTGTACTTGTATTTCTATAAACAGAATGAAAAAAAAATGAATCTTCGTATCTCCTCTTTCTTTATATTCTTTTCAATAAAAATCTACACAGCATAGGATTATTTCAAACTCATTATTAATTTTTTTTTCTGAAATTATTTTAATGTTTTAAACGCTTTTTATGTTTTTTATTTTTGTTGTTAATTATTTAAAGGTTAGAATGAAACCAAGATCAACGTAAGTTTACATTTTGTTATAAATCTTGAAAATAAAACATAACAACAGAAAGTCATTCTAGACCTTAGACCAGGGTGGCCGAGAGACTAAAATCCCAGTCTATGAAAGCGTAGGTCACTGGTTCGTGCCTTTAAGTCCCTAATGAACTAGTAGAATGCATTGCAAGCAGAACAAGTATAGATGGTTGACCGTGTGAAGTTAAACATAGATGGCGCTAAGGGTTAAAATTTGTGGTAAGACTTCCGGGTTACTGCTTCCGATTGATTTTTTCGCCTAAGCTTGAAAAAGAGCACCATCCAATATTCTTATACTTTAAGTGTTTTCAATCAGAGCGTTCTTTTAATTTAACTTTCAATAAAAAGAAGAAATTCGGAAAACTCCGCTAGCTTGCTAAAGGATGCTACTCAAAAAGTAACGAACGGCGCTATTTCACTCAAAGACACCCAAATTAGGGATAACACTTAAAACATGGCAAACCTAACACTTTATTCATGTTCCGGGAAGATTTCCGTATCGCGATCTGTGGCAGAATAACCACCAAGTCTTGTAAACTTCCGCGCAGTGGCCCGCGAGAAACTAAAAAAAAAACATCACAGTAAGGGACCAACTCGAACGGTAACTCGTAGCCACCCCCGGGCAAACATCTGCATGTTTTTATTTTTTTTATTTTTTTTTTTTTTTAAATTTGCAAGTTTAAAATCTATTTAGCATCTTGGCGATTGTAGTTGGCGAGACAGATCACGATACGGAAATCTCTCTATCCCCTATGTTCTGATATGAATTTTCTTTGTTTTAGGTACACAACCTGTTAGAATTTATAAATTATAGAGAACTCTTATAAATGGTAAAACTACATGTAAATTTAAATTCAAATAAGAATACTAAAATAATTTAGAATATTAGTCCCGCAGTGGACATGTCGTTAAGACACGGTTCCCAGCAGATCATCACTGGCTACGGTCACTGTGCGAGTGGGTGACCACTTGGATCAATCTGTGTAGGGACCGAGGATGGGCGGTAATGGTCCTCGTTAAACCGTTCTACCGTTAAGTGCTCGACTTCGCGGGCAGGTCGTCGGGCTACCGAAGCGGGGGTGCCAACCCCTCTGCAGAGAATCAAAATTGTGATGGCATAACTTCGGTTCATCCTCAGGGATGTTTCCCAGACCGTCGCCAATAGAACATTGAGCAGCTCTTGTGCGACGTAGATGAACTACAACTACAATCTAGAATATTAAGCCTGTTTGCATATCACGCCTTGTAAGCATAACATAAGCGGAGAAATAAACCGAAAATTTTCTGAATTTCTTCTAGTTTTAGGAAGTCTGTTATTGTTTACATTCAGTCAACCATCCATAAGAAGACATCCATGGTCATGACTAGAATCGAACCCGCGAACCTTATGCAAGGATATTTGTTGTAAAGGAACAAAAATCCTTGGCAGCGGAGACCTCTCGAATTAGTTGAAGTATCTCAAAGTATCTTAGTTAAAGTATCTTAGTTTAAATGACTTAGTTGAAGTGGTTGAATTATCTCTCGAAGTTGTTCAAGACACAAACCTGTGACCTTTCAAGTCACAGTTTGGGTCATTGGAGTTGTTGTTGTTGTAGTTCATTTACGTCGCACTAGAGCTGCACAATGGATTATTGGTGACTGTCTGGGAGACATCCCTGAGGATGATCCGAAGACATGCCATCACAATTTTGATCATCTGCAGAGGGGATGGCACCCCCGCTTCGGTAGTCCGGTCCCTACGCAGACTGATCTAAGTGGTCACCCACCCGCACACTGACCGCAGCCAGTAATGCTTGACTTCGGTGATCTGCTGGGAATCGTGTCTTAACGATCAGTACACTGCGGGACTTGGGACATTGGAAGAATTTAATTAATTATTCATCCATGCAATGATAGTGCTTTATTTACGTCGCACTAGAGTTGCACCATATGGGCTGTGGGTGATAATCTGGGAAACATCTCTGAGGATGATCAGAAGACTAGCCATCACAATTTCGACCCTCTGCTGAGAGGATGGTTTCACCGTTTTGGTAGTCCGACAACCTGGGCGCAAAATCGAGTTCTTTACTGCAGATCAGTTTAACGATACCACGCACACTTGGTCACTTCACAGGCTGATCAAAGTGGTCAACCACCCGCTTACTGACCGCTACCAGTGATGCTTGACTCGGTGATCTACTTGGAACCCTCTCTTACAATCAGTCTACTGTGGAACTTTATCATTCAAAAATCTACAGGTATTTGAACTCAAACAGCTTTTGAGTTTTCGACCCATTTAAGAACTTCTAACACAAAGTGCAGGAAGTCATCGCAAACAGTGACTGAAATATACATTCAGGATTGTAACTGGAATTGCACCTGTTACCATGATTCTTCAAAGCATTTAGTGGAAGGACAATGCCTCTTGGCCATAGAGGCAAGATAAGATTGGTAAGAATATCAATTTCTGATGAAAAGTCGCAAGTTCGTGCGTTTCTCGGGAGCTTCAGGGCCAAAACATAAAATTTTTTACGACCTGGTTTTTAAAAAAAATTGACCAGCTCATGATAAAAACCTAATCCTCAAAATTGCTTTTTTTATACCTCAACATTTTTCCACTGTAATATTAGAGATCATGCAAAAATGTTACATACCGTTAAAAAAATATTTAGAAGAGTTTTAAGATGAAGTTGTTTTTCTATTTGGAAGAAACAAATTTCGTCTTTATTTGGTTAATTTAAGATTTTCGTCTTTTTTTTTTTTTTTTTTTTTTTTTTTTTTTTGGTTAATTTTTTAAAAAAAATTGAGTTTCCTCAATTATTATTAGAGATTTTATCATATTTGTAATCGTCCATTCCATTTTAAAAAAGGAATTTTTAATGGATGAAATCTAAATGAATCGTAGTATAGGTGTAACAGTAATGGTGTTCCGTAAACACTACCTTCAATGTATAGTTTTAGAAATTTTGTGCGGAAAAAAAAGTTTAAAAAAAATTATTTATTGTTGGTTAAGAATCAATATGTAAGAAAGGAAAAAAAAAAACATTAATAAAAGCTAACTAATAATTAAAAGAGTCAAAATTAAAAGCACCGAAATGAGAAACCAGTTTGATTGCCATAGGAAACAGAGAATGTTAAAGGCTTCTAATCTACACTCCTTCAGCAATCAGACTAGTATTGCTGTATTTAATCCTGAATTTCTCTATAATGTTTCGTCAAATTTTAATAATGCTTTTTTCCCAATGATTAAACATTGATTTTTGATTCCTTATAAATATTCGTATTTCAATACGTTTTCTTCAAGGATTTTAAATGCATAAATAAAGAGCTTTTGGAATGCCATATACTTTTATAAAAGAAGTAATTTAAACAAAGGTTTAAAATTAAATTATTTAAATTTATTTTACTTTTCAATAATTGTATTTATTGATAAAATAACTCTACAATCTCTGAATCTTTCATACATAAAAATGTATCATATACTTCTAATTTCGAAAATGTACTCGAGCTTGTACGATTCTTGTATAGTTATATTGTTCACAAATTGTAAAAATCATAATAACAGCATAATTTTTAATAACACCCAATTATATTAATTGCTAAAAGTAATATTCCGATTCCTTTAAAATAATTTTCTTACATTTTAAATTTTTTTTATCGTTTTCTCTGTTTAAAATATTCATTTGGCGATCATAGGTTAAAATTTGGCATTGTTTGGCATACAATTCCTCCACGTTTATTTTTCTTTCTCGCTGAATTAATTTTACCTAAGTAACCACAAGTTCGACGTTCGCGTAGTAAAGGAAATTTTTACATTTTAGCCTTTAGCTTATTGTTAATGAAAACACGAAAGAAATTTATTTTATTTGGCTTACATTATTTTATTGACGTTCTTTTATTATTGAAATAAAATGACTAACACTGTGGAAATAATGTTTACTCACTGTTCTTGGAAATTGCCGTTTGAGAAAATTCCGCATTTTAAAAAGGTAACTTGTTTCGATTTCATAAAAATACAATTAGTTTTATCAATTATTATATCTGCTTATAAATTCATTTCTCATTTATAATAATTATTCAAATGTTTTGTTTTATAAATTTTTAATTGTAATTTTCGTTTTCATTCCTGTAAATTTCTTAGTTTTTTAATGAGAAGGATCATTCCTACAGCTTTTGTTTCGAAATCAAACGATTTGGAATTATTCATAAAATTAGTTCTGTTTTATATGCACAGTTTATATCAAATCTTTAAGAGCATAATCACCTTTTATTATATAAATACATATTTTGCATAATTGATGCATTGTACTTGTGAATATTTCGTACGTTTTTTGTTGATATTATAAACTTTTGTTTTGAGATTTACCACCTACTTTTATGATAATTGCTTTCGTTTTGTGTTCGTAATTTGTTTTGTCGACTGCAAAATGTTTCAGTTGATATAATGGAATATTTATTTTCGTTATCGTTCGTTTTATTGTTAAGTCATTCGCAATCGGTGGTGAGGAATTTATTGCAAATTGATTTTTTTTTTACCTTACGAAAAAATTTATTATTGTTATTATTAAGTTTTGCTTTCAGACTAGAATACATCAGAATTTGAAAAAAAAAATTGATTTACCTGTAAAATTATCCTAAATTGAAGTGTGCTTTTGTTTTTGGTAAAATTAAAATGTTATAGATATTATTACAGTAACTCTCATTTTTTGTATTTAAAAATATTATCTCAAAACTTAGTTTATCAGTAACTTAATTTTCCCTCAAAAACAGAACTGTAATTTTACAATCAAATGAGAAATCTGTGAAATTGTCAAAAATTAAATTAATTTTGAATTTAAACTGAAACAGAAACTCTTTAAAATTACAAAGATATAGTTATTAAATTTTGGCATTCACACCGATTTAATTATAAATAATTCGAAAAGTTTTGTTTCTGTTATTTTCTTTAATGCCAATTTTAATTTTCGAAAGTGCAAGAAAACTTTTTTTTCGTATTTAATTTTTAAAAAAATATAAATTCAAAGTCTAGTCACATTTACAAATCAAATTATTTCATTCAATCTCTAAAAGTATTTTCCCTTTATTACCGAACATACTACAATATACAATCACAACTTGCAAAGTTGTAATTGTAAAACTCTGAGGAACAATTTTTTTAAAAATAAATTGCTGACGCATGTATTATTTGTGATTTTTTTTTTTTTTTTTTTTTTTTTAAATTTTAAAATGTAATGATTTTTCAGTTTAGCTTTCTTTTCTAAAAAATATTTGTTCTGTTTAGGTTTATGCTTTTTAGTGTTTCTTGAAAAAAATGCTTATTAAACTTGAAAATTAATCTTGAAACAAGTATTTAATTTATATTTTTACTACTGATTTGAACATTTATTTATACAACTGTGTTAAATAAACATTACCTTTAATATATCTTCGAATTCTTGCCAAAACTAAAGTGAACAAAATGCTGAACATATTAGGGGCTACTAATTAATATTTAAATGCAAGAAAGAAAAAAAACTTTCTATAAATCTGACCGATTAGTATCATGGAGGGCGGAATTAAAAACATAGCTTTTTACTTGGTAATAATAAAACAAAGGGGTTGAAGGGTAATTATTTAACAGTAAAGCTTTCAAGTTTCAATTTGCAATCCCTCCTCTTCTTTGATTATAAATCATCAGATTTTTAATAGCTTATTTCTATTTTCACCATTTTTAAATATTAATTTGTGATTCTAATGTGTATACATAAATTTGCAACCCCAAAATATGTAAGCATTCTAAAAATATATACAAAGGGCCATCATCACAGGACACAATGAATTAGCTTAACCTATGTCTTACCAAAGCTTCTTGTAAAATAAAATCAATTCTTAAACTTTATTTTAAAGTTTTAAATTAGAAATAGGATTAAATGCTAGTACAATTTACACTACTTGTGCCGAAAAGGCTCAAATTAATCATTATAGGACATCGCTCACACATACACGTGATAGCGAGATTCTCTTTTCACTACCCACGCGTATCATATATATGAAACCAACATCACACGGACATGATCTTAATACGTTTCTCTCGTATTACATCACTCTATAAAACGTATAAACTGAGAGATTCTTTCTCTTTCGCTGGGTTAATTGTAATCGTTAATCTAAATTCGAGTTTATTTATTGATCTAGTTCATTTTTGAATCTAAGTTAAATTCAGAATGCTTGCTTTAAACCATAATTAAAATTCGATTTAATTTACCGTGAGAGCTAAAATTAGTAAATTTCAGCAAGTCCCAAGAGAAATATAAAGGCATAAATTTATTTTCGAAACAGCATTTTTTAAAAAGAATATCGTATGCCACTATCGCAAACTGCAGCTGATCAGTCAACGTACCACAATTTGCTTGCACCCCCGCGTGTTAAAAATGCATGCTACATTGGAAAATAATTTTGACTTTTTCGACATATTTTGCCATCTTCGCCGCGTACATAAGCCGTGGTGGCTCAGGGGATAGAGCGTTAGCTTACCAATGAGGTGAACCGGATTCGAATCCCAGCAATGGCAGGTCAATACAAATTCTGCACCCGGCTAGCACCGACCACAGTGCTGACATAAAAATATCTTTACTGGTTGACGGATCATAGATTAGAGTCCCCTTGCCGCTAGGCTAATCGTAGGAGGTTTTCGTGGTTTTCCTCCCTATGTAACGCAAATACGGATTAGTTGCATCAAAAAGACCTCCACGAAAGCAAATTCCTCCCAATACTTTATACCCTTGTCTTCTAGATTGGGTTCAACATTGCAAGGCTACGGAGTTGAACATTGGCTGTCGTAAACCCAAAAATGGGTCAGCTCTTCAACGTCGGTTATAAAATAAAAACTACCGAAATTGAAGTTTCTGATATTGTGCTTACATTAACTTTTAAGTGGCCCTTTCTCTCCCAATCGACCTCAACTGTCGAAAGGATGGAGACGGGGGGGGGGATTACTCTAAATATACATTCAATCCTTTTAATTTAATTTTCACAATAAAACTAATGATGAATATTTACTTCATTTGTCACTATCATTCGATACATGTAAAATATGAGATCGTAACTCAATCAGAATTTGAGATATAAAGCTTGTAGTACTATAGATTCTCCATGACTTTTTTCTTGCTTTTAAAGTTTTGAGGTAAAATTCGTAGAAGTTCTAAAAATTATCAAGCACTATTTCTCCTAGTAAAATAAAGCAACCCCATTATTCTCTACCTCGTTTGAAAAAAGTATTGTTCTGTCTAATGATACTTTATCATCAAAAGTTAGTTAAATACAAAAAAAAAATATCGAGAAAACACTAATTAAAGATTTGACCTTAAAACTCCGAATTCGGCACCCTTTCATTCAAATAGAGCACATTATACGATCCCTCAATCCCGATGACGTATGAAAAAGAAGGGGGTGAGGAAAGGGGGACAAAAGTGGTCCATCTCGGGAATCACGGAAACAGGAAATGAGTAATACACTTGAGGATTCGTTTTCTGCTACCTGCTGTCAGCATTGATAGTATCTTGTGTAACCAAAATTGGTTATATTTCATAGAAAAAAGAATTATTCGAGGACTGTTTTCGTGTCATCAATAAATATTTAAAGTTCTCTTTTAAATAGAGGTTCAATTCCACTTTCGTTTATATAAAGCTTTAAATTCTAATGTGTGTAAAATAAATAAATAAATAAAAAAGAACTAATGGCATATCGTTATTCAATCAATAATAAAATGAGCAAGTTCTATGACAGGGTGCCAATAAAGCATCCTGGCATAGAACTTGCTAGTATTGCTTCGAATTTTAAAATAAAAACTATCCAGGGGTCTGTTTAGAAGAAATTTGGGTCCGTTAACGGACCCTTCACAAAATATCTTTTCATAAAAATGGACCTTTCACAAAATATTTTAACTTAAAAACGGACCCTTCACAAAATGATTTTTCTTTTAATCGGACCCTTCACAAATTTGTTTATCTTCATTATTATTTTGTTAATCGAATAAACCCTTTCCAGGGCAGAAAACAAGAAAGATGGATGTAAACGAATTAAGTTTTGTCTTCGGCAGACGATTCTTCCATTATTCGTCCGAAATTAATATTCTGCGTTCAGCAGTATAGGCTAAATACCAAATATTTGTATGTTGCATCTCTAATTTAGAAGCAGCAATGGCTGTTTATTTTTGAAAATTTAATTTTTTTTAATTATAATTTTTCAGTGCCGAGCATAATCTTGTATCTGTTTGCAATTTAAAAACTCCTTGAAAAAGTTTTTTTTTTTTTGCAATAACGGACCCTATTTGCACAAATTCATAAAAGCGGACCCTGGTTGAAAGAATGTGAGTAATTTTTTCACAATTTCACGAAAAACGGACCTTTCACAAAATGTCTGGACAGATCCCTGCTATCGTTTGACTGCGATTTGTCGAACGAAACTGTTCATAGTTTCGACGTGCCATCATATTATTGTAATGATTGGTTTTATCAATTTTAAAATACTTCTGTAAGGAAAACTAATACTTATAACATACTACTTATAATTTTCGGAAACTAAAAGACTGTTTCCACTGCACTCGTGAAACTAGCCTGTCATAGAACTTGCTCGTATTGCTTCGAATTTTAAAATAAAAATTATCGTTTGACTGCGATTTGTCGAACAAAACAGTTCATAGTTTCGACGTGCCATCATGTTATTGATTAATGATTGGTTTTATAAATTTTAAAATACTTCTGTAAGGAAGACTGATACTTAATAATATTCGATGTATAATTTTCAGAAACTAAAAGACTGTTTTCACTGAACTCGTCGAACCAGTCTGTCTAAATATCACCAATCAGATTCTTAATTTTCCAATGCATATTTCATATGAATATTTATTCAAATAACAATAAGTAATAATACTATGCAAAATTTTTGCTTACTAATAATAGTTCGTGATGTACCTTGTTCATGTAAAAGTCTTCATATGACTCACATTCAC